TGAATTTTTTAAATTTTAATGATATTAAAGAAAAAAACAATTTTCCTCTAGTTTGTTCTAAAACAAATAACTTTGAAAATTCATTTCAAACACTTTGTAATTTATACCATTTATCATAAAATGTAGTTAATTCTGTACAATGAAAACTTACAATTAAAACTTTTAAACTATCCTTTAAGGACTGTTTCATCTTCCATTTCAACGTTCGTAATTATGCTACGATTATCTACTGCTCAAATAAATTTCTATAAACATCTGACAAATTCCGAGAATGTTGAATGAACAATTTGACGACAGTTTAAAACGTTATCGGACAATAGAACGTTGTGACATCCTCCTATCTCTTTCACCAGTTTTATCATTTTCTCTACATAGGTAGCTATATACTAGCTGTGTATGTAGAACATATATGCCCCTCCTTAGATCATGATGTCCGTGAAAAAAGTATGCCCCTACCATCCCTACCACCTTCACCATCCCAAGCAACGAGAGTAGCGGAAGGAGAAACAGAAAGAAGACGCATTGTAAAAACCTACCTTTCCGCCCCTCGCACTATGCACCCCCTAGAAAGAACGTACGACCTCTTTACCCCACTATTGGTCACGCAAATAGTTAACATTTTTTGCAGTTTACTGTTGAGAACCCTTTGATTATCCACAAAATTCACATCTTCCTTCCACTACTTCTTGCCAATTTATTCAATTGAGTTTTTATTATTATAAATGGAACAAAATAATTAAAAAAGGAGATATGAATTGACATTTCCTGTTAGGTTTCTGTGTTTTAATATTTGTTTCAACTTGAAATATATCAGATGCAGAATATAGGAAAACAATTATCAGCTTCTGTATTATTAACAAACAAAAAGACACAAGGAAGAGGAAATAAAATATTGTTTTCTTGCCATTACCATTTCCGATAATCACGATAGATGATTCTTCACTTTTTGCCCTTCAGCGACATCATAGTTCTTTTCCTGGTCTAGCCTGCTACCCTTGCTTCTTCCAGCTTTATTTTTGCACCCGACCACCCACTACTATTACCACTGCCCTCCCCACTTCCCCCACCATACTATTCCCACTCCATTGGCCTACCTTTTCCGCGCCGGTAGAAATAGAGGGAAAGATTTTTATTCTCGTAAATGGAAAAAGCAGGCTAGAGAGGGAGGTTTTGCCAGCCAACCGTTGCCTGCGAGCGAATTTTTTGCTTCGCCCTCATCGTCGACAAACTCGTCGAAGGGTAAGTTAGGAAAGACTAAGTTGAAGCATTCGTTCAAATTTATCTTGCAGAAAAATTATAATGTTCATTTTGAATCTTATCTATCAGGAATTTCTTTATTAAATTGTCACGTGGTCTCATAAATAATGAATAAAAGTGAAATTAAAAAATGACTAGATGAAAATATAAAAACAAAGTAAGGAAAAGTACTAAAAAAAAAAAATACGACGAAATTCTAAAAAAGCAGAATATGCTCATATTACTTATGAGATGACCTGATGGTAATTAAAATTAGTAATTCGAATTTTTAATCAAAATTGCAAATTTTCTTATATAAAACATTTGCTCAACTTTTGCTTATGAATTCTATTGGTGTATACGTTTTTGGGTCTGATGCTCCATTTTAACTATGGCAGTACGTCTTGTACGAAAAAATCTTAACATCTGATCTATAGAATGGCGGTATAATTCCTTGAGTATGCAAATGTCTGAAGCCTGAGAAATAATTTAGAAGGGGTTCGAGCAGACGATGGTCAGTTTTTTTCCGTCGGAACCTCCTGCTCCCGACCCGTAGAAAAATAACAAAAAATTATGAGCCCCGCGTTCCTTCAACGATGAGACGCGTGAGACCTTCAAGCGTGAGACTTTGTCAAGGTGCATTTTTCGCCTAATCCATTAATTTCTCCAACATTAAAATTCATGCGAATAAAAAACATCAAGAATTGTTGCTTGTTCATTATTATAAAATATTAAAGAGTTGTACCTTCTGTAATTTGCACTCATTAGAAATTTTGTATTTGTTTATTGCCTTTGTAAACTTTTACCTAAATTCGAATGTTCAATAACGTTTTCAATACATTTTGTGAAATACGAAAAATAATTTTGAAAATAAACACTTCTTGATTATCAAAAGAAATGCGTTGATTCTAATCGCTATTTACTAATATCGAAAAGAAAATCAAAGAAATTTGTGATTAAAAAAAAAAACAGTTTTTTTTTTATACATATAATTTCTGTTATTTTACGTGTCTTATAAAAGCGAGAGGCAGTACAATTTTAATGACTGGTGATTAGAAACGAATTAAATATCGATAATGTTCATCGAATATTTAGATTACGTTCTTAATACTATACACAATTGTTACACAAGCACAAAGTCGTTTAAAGACATACTAATAAAATTACATTAAAAATAGTGAATATTTAAAATAAATATCAATTTCAAAAACACCTTGGGAATTCGTATTATCGCTGCAAAAGTTTTCTAGGAACTCGTGAACACACAATTAAAGTTATTATTACATAAAAGTCTTTTGAAATGTTCAATTATTTATACGAATTTGTATAAAACATTTGATAAGTCAAATGGTAAAAACAATTGCGTTACACTGTTACAATGCGATAGAAAGCACGAATTTCGTGGTAAACACACAAATACATGGAAGTAACGTAGAATCATACACAACCATATTCATACCACACTTGATTACCTGCTTTTGAATCTTTATCAACAGGGGTTTCCATCATTGTCTCCTCTTGCCCTACAGTTTTTATTCCGCTATTGCTAAGATTCTTTGATTCATTTATAACTGCTGATACTTTATTGTATATTAGAACCGGTCGTGGTTCTGCTTGCACCTCTGGTCGCGGAGTTTGTTCCAATAAAATGGACCGTCTGTCGTCTCCTTGTTCCTGTAATTCGTGTATACAAATAGAGAAAGGTTTCCTACTATTAAAAAAAAAGACATCAGGATATAAACAATAAAATAAATACAATGGAAAATTAAAAAAATTCATACTGGTAAACTAGTTGGTGGTGGTGGTGAATCATCAGTGTAATATACTGTTCTTCTAGTTCCTGGATGACCAAGAGACAATGCATCTGATCCAAGTCCTCTGGTTGATCCTTGAATTAATACCATAAACTTATTTTACCAATATTTTTTTCTTTGTAATATTCACAATAATAGAAAAGGTAAATATTTAAGTCTAAACGAAGTTTAATAGTAATTTCCTAAAATTTTGAAATGTAGATATTCTATATTTGAAAATCAAGACACAAATCCTACCTAAGTTAAAATCAGACACAAGATATCTCATTTTTGTACTTCCTCATAATTGCAAACAAACGGAAAAATATTTAATAAATGCGTACTACGAGTAGAACACTCGAAAATGTAAAACCGAATCTAGAATGTAAGAAATATAACAATTTCGAGAACAAGTTTCAAGAAACAGAATTCAGTACAGTATGTAATATATTAAATTAATAGTCATAATTATTGTTACATTTATAATTTTTCTCTTTGTCGAAATTTCCACAGTTGTATAGTCTTTAAATATTCTTCAAATATTCTAAAACAAGAAGTTTTCGAAAAGAAAAGCAGATTGTCATAGATCACACATTCATTATCATGTTTCCTTTGACTCGGACTTCCTTGCTTATTATCATATTTAATGAATTCTGCTTCAATAAAAATACTTTAGAAACTGAAAACAAACAATGGGTGTGATTACAAATGAAATAACAACAACCAATAAATATAACATATTAATGACACGACAGACAATTTGGCCCGCTTAAAGTGAAAAGAAACATTAACAGACAATGACTACTGAAATAAAAAAATTTCTTTTCTTTCTACTCAGACCTGTTTATTCTAATGTATAGAATACATGTGTCAAATTTCGAACACAACCATTATAAAAACATCTTGTATTGGTAAAATATACGGAATGGACCAATAACTTTGTCCACCTTAAATATTTTCGTTATTTGTAATAATATCAAAAAATGTTGTATATAAAATTTGCATGATATGACGGAGGACATATTGTGATGAAAATATATTTTGTCCGCGTCGGCGGATCCACTTACCTGCTAATCGATGTTCTTCTGTACTAACATCCGAATCATTTCCACCAGATTCTGATTCGTAAGTTTTTCCTTCTGAATGTTTAGAATCTTCCGCCCACGATCGTCGATTCTAATTCACGTAAATTTAAAAACATGAAGTTCGTAAAATTTATTTACATTGAAGTACTTATGCATCAATTTACTTACCTTATTGAGAAACTCGGATCCAGCTTTCCGAACTCTTCGTACAAAATTGGCTCCAAACCCTTTCCTTTAAATACATATGCGAATAATACATTAGAAATTGATAAAGAGTAGCCAAATGCAAAGAATAAAATAAAATTACGTACAGAAGTAAAACGTAACTTACTTTTTTGGAGTACAACTTTCTAATTTTCTATAATGCTCCATAATCTTATCTTCTAATTTTTCTTTTTGTCTGTAGAGATGATTCACTTTGTCTCTACAATAATAATTATTATTAATATTCTAAACAACACGTTAACTAATATAAGGAAACACAAATATTGTTTGCTGTACTTATAAAATAAAATAGAAGCACCATTTTGATAAATTAAATACGAAATATAATACTGTTACATTTTTTTCTTTTCAAATACTAACGTGTACAATTTTTCTTCCATATGATAATGTTCTTTATCTTCAAGAGAATGACTTAAAAGTTCATGATATTGGCTAAACAATAAAGTAATGTGATCCATCAGCGATCGTCTGTCATTATCTAAGCCGGAATTCATATGTAGTAACACCTAAAATGAAAATGTGGTCCAAAAAAACAATAAATATATATTAAATATGTTGTAATATAATATATTTTATACCTCGCAACGTTGATTTAATTTGTTAATCTGAAGTTCCAAATTGGAACATCTTTCATCTCGACTGCTAAGTTCACCTTGCATTTCTGTTAATTTTAAACTTAATCGATTTGTTTCAATTTTATTTTTTCTATAATCTTCTTGTAGATTTCTGTATTCCATTTTCAATTTTTCTGTAGCGGTATATAAATTTCTAAAGTCATCCTAAAATTATAAAAAAATTACTAAATTTGTATTTTAATGCATATAATAGTATATATTTTTTAACACTTGTACAATACCTTTAATTTAGAGTGTTCTCCTCTTAAGTTATTCAAACTTTTTGCATCATTTACCAATGATTCCTTTTCAGTTTGTAGAACTTTGTTTTTCGCCTTTATTCCTTCATAAGACTCGCGTAACATTCTAATTTCATTTTTTACATCCCGTAAATTTGATTTGAGGGCATCATGTTCATGAAATAGGTTTTCATATTCATTATTCAATTGCTCATGCAAAGATTGTAAAGTGACTTGATCATGAATAAGTTGTGTGTGCGCTTGCTGTTGTGCGTTGCGTTCTTTTAACAGCTAAGTTAAAACATTACAGAGATAATATTAAAGATAATATTAAAGCATACATGTATTTAACCTGTAACTATTTTACACTAAATATTTATAGTAATAAATAAGTTACAAAAGACATACATAAACTAAATTGTAATATTTTTCTTCCAATACAATGTGCATTTGGAAGAATTAGTATACCAAAAATGATTACCTCTTCTTTTTCAGCAACAAGTTGAGAATTTGCGAGTTGTAGAGCTGTATGTTGTGCAGTCAAGGAATTATTTTGGGATTGTAAAGTTGTAATCTGTACTTGAAGTTTTGCATTTTCAGAGAGAAGGTTTTCCAATGCTGTTTGTGCAGTAACTAATTTCATATTCAAGTGATCTTGTTCCTTCTAAAAACCAGAAGGAAAATCTTGCTTATTTACGATGCTTTACATAACTATGAAAGTTTATCTTTTATTGTATTCTTTTTATTTATTTAGATACTAATGTACTGTATTTACATAATTTCAAAGTACCTTCAGTGATTCTACTGTTGCTTTTAATGTACTATGAATATTACTAGTTTCATTATTCTCAGAATTTGTAGATTCAGGTACTGATTTTTTACAGCAACAAAACTTGTCTGTTTCTTTTATATAACTGACAACTTCTGGAATTTGCGCAATTCTGTAATTATAAAATATTATCAATAAACTAATAAATCAAATCTTAAAATTATCCAATGGTAGTGACAACATATTATCACTAAGTCCAAGTTTCTCTAGAACAGTGTATAATTGTTGAGTATTCAATTTTTCGGCTACTAAATTAGATTGCAGAATTTCTAAAGTTTCTCTATCAATAGCTGCTCGTGAATCCAATTCCTTGCTAGATCTCTCGATTTCTTGTAGTCTATCAAAAAATTTCTTTCCATGTAATGAATTCTTACAGTAAATAAGCATTTATTGGAAACATTTTATACCTTGAAATTTGTGTAACAGAATCATGAAGTTCCTGTTCAAGTTGTGTTACTTTCCTTTCTAAAACTTCAATGCTATTTGTTGCTTTATCCAATGCGACATCTTTTTCCTGAAAATTTATTTGGATAAAATATAATTCAATTAAAATCAATCAAAATTAATATTTGTTTTTATTTATATGCCTCATTAAATTTTGAAAACATCATAATAATATAAAAGAGATATAATAAGAGAATTTAAAAAAAAAACATGCACAATTGCTTTTTTTTGTTCTATTAACTTCAAATTTAACAACTCATCATTTTACCTATTAAAAGGGTGAATTTACAACTTATTTCTATCCATTTGCACTATTAGTATTAGATGAGCGTATTCAAGCGCGTTAACCTCGTCGATAAAATATTAAAATGGAAATTAGAATTTTTATAGATTAGAATAATTTAAAATATGGACTGCATTGTTATAGAGTAATATAATTTAGCAATAATATTATAAAATAGCAATTAGAAAGTTATAGAATAATTAATCATTCTAGTAAAGGTATTTTGTGAAATTCATACTTCAATTGTTTCCCGATATCGATGAATATCGCGTTGTGCTACATCTTTCTCTTTTTCTACCGCCATAAGTTTCGATTCAAGATCAAGACATTTAGAATTAATATCTTTTATATTACTTTCGATAACTTTTAATTCTTCGACTTTCTGATTTGCAAGCTCTAAACTACGTTCTACATCATCTGCTCGTCTTTGTACGCTTTCCAATAAAGACTGAACTCGTTGTTTTTCTTTCACCGCTGTATCATTATTTTTTTCCAATTCTATCATTTTTGTATGTTGAGTCTAAAAATGAATAAATTTAAAAAAATATTAAACAAAATTATTAAAATGAAGCATACACAATCTGTATGACCTACTTGAAATTCTTGTTGTTGTTTTTCAGATGATGCTCTTTGATTTTTCAGCGAGTTCTGTAACTTCTTGTTTTCTTCAAGTGCTTGTTTCCATACTAATTCCAAATCTGAATTTTGTTGTGTTAGTCTTTCAATGTTATCATTTAATGATTCAATCTTTAATGACAGCTTCTTTTTTTCTTTTTCTAATTCCAACACACGAGATGAATTTTCATGGAATGAATTTTCTTTTAAGGAATCAATCAAGGTGACTAATCGACGGTTTTCTAACTCTAGTTTTAGCGCCCGCGTTTGTGCATTATTAGTTAATTGTTCAGACAATCTGTTATCATCATGTGCTACATAAAGTTCAAATGCACATTAAACGTATATATAATTTATAAATAACATATTACAAAGTATTGAAAATAATTTCGCTTGTTACCTGGCTCATCGGAATCGCTTATAGAACTAGCTAATGCAGCTTCATTTGCAGCAGCTTTCGTCAATTTGTGCAACTGAGTATTTTCTTCAACTAATTCTTGATATTTTTCTTTTTCCGCCGCACGTTCCTTAAAATTCAATTTGTAAATTAAATTTAAGCAAATAAATTTTAAATTCTATTTATGTACATACCAAAGCCATGTCGTTCAATAATTGTTTATATTTTATGATCTCAGACTCAAGTTCCAATACTTTATCTGCTCTTCTTCTTGATGAATTCAACTGATCTTCAAGCATTTCTCTAGTCTCCATTAAAACCCTAAAATAAACAAATTATATTTATATAAAGAAAATGTATTTAAATTTCATTTTAAAGAATAAATACGTCTCTAGTGCAAAATACCTGTTATCTTCACGTAACTCCTCTATCCGAGTTTTGTAAAATTCTATGTCAGTAAGTTTCTCCCGGTATCTTACTACTTCTAATTCTAATCGATCAGCACGATCTGCTCTTTCAACTACTGCATCCAATTCATCTCTGTAAGATTTTGCTGTACGTGCTTCATGCATTAATTCTTGATTCTGAAACAGTTACAATAAGGATTTATATAATTCTAGTGCTTGCTAAAAAAAAATATTCATGTCAATTTTTATTCAATAAAGCTCAAACTATAACTTAACTGAAACCACATATCTTACCTCTTGTTTTAATTTGGTTACTAACATTTTATGATATTCAAGTTCTTCTTTACATTCTAACAGTGCTTCCGTTTTTTCTTCCCTTCAAATAATTCACAATAAAATGATGGATTAAATATACAAATAAATAAAAATGATACAAGTTAAAAATCATTAAATCATTCAAAAATTATAATACATACAATTCTTGCCGTTGTTTTCTAACTCTTGATTTCCAATCAGCTAATTCAACAGCATAATGATGATTATCTTCACGGTCTGATTTAACAACAGGATTAAATTGTTGAGTTTTGTTCATGTCTTCAGCTTCCACACTAATAGATGAATCATTTCTTTCAACACTTTCATTTATAACTGTGTCTCTCCATTTCTATCATATCAACAATATTAATGTTTTGTTAATACAATATTGCATTTACTAATAATACTGATCATATTTTGCATACCTGACGATATAAGTCTAATTCTTGAGTCAACTTTTTTATTTGCACAAATAAACAGCCCATATTTACATTTTCCATTGCATCTTGAGTAATAACAATGTTTTGATGATCTGTGACCTAAGAACATAATATAAACTCATTAAACTAATTTAATGGAGACAATATAAAGTAAGAGAAAACAAAAATTTTAAATGCTCACCTGTTTAATACACTCCACTATAGCAAGTTGAGTATCAACATTTAATGTTTTTATGTTTGTGATAAATTTTTCTTTGTTTGGACATTGCACAGCACAACCAAGAAGTAACAATAATAATAATTTCATATCTGCAACATAAAGTTCTGGCTCTTTGCCTAAATTCACAGTATCTGGTAACTTTAGGACTAAATGACCCAATTCATCTTCATAAAATTGTTTCATATTATCTACTATGGCTTTTAAATTCTTCGTGCGTATTAATGAACTTCCTTCTGGAGATATTACTTCATCATGTAATGGTTCAGGATCCCTATAGAAACACATATAAACACATATATTATTAAAGGAAGAAAACTAATAAAAACTTAATTATATTATGATACTTACATTTGTAGAAACACACTGTGTAATAATACACCATCTACTAAATCATTGTAACTAGTTAATGAATTAGGATCCTTTAAACAACTGGCGAACTATTGCAAAGAAAATTTTAAAGAAATTATATTAATTTAATAGAAATTTCATTGTTATATTTTTCCATTAAAAATTAATTTTTTAAT